ATCGGTCCTCTTCGACCTCCGACCCCCCGCGGTCATGATGCTATCCTGGTCGTCGTTGACCGCTTCACGAAGCGTGCACGCTTTGTTCCGTGCCGCTATGCTATCAGTGCACGTGAGGTCGCCGACATCGTGTTTGACCGAGTCCTGCGTGACCACGACTTACCTCTCAGCATCATATCTGACCGTGACCCGTGTTTTACCAGCCAATTCTGGCGACGGCTCCACGAGGTGTACGGCACTCAGCTCCGCTTCTCCTCGTCTTACCATCCTCAGACTGAGGGTCAGACCGAGATCACGAACAGGACTCTCGCAGATATTCTCCGAAAGATTGTTCGTGACGACCAGCAGTGGGACCTCCATCTTGCCCACGCGGAGATAGCCTACAACCACGCCGTCTCGCCAGCCACGGGGATGTCGCCTTACTATTGCGACCTCGGCTATCACCCTCGTGTTCCTGCAGACTTCCTTCGACCGTCACAAATGCACCCCGACACGAGTTGTCCCGCACTTGATGATTGGGTTGCACATATGACGTCGTTCATGAAGACCGCACATGAGGACATAGCTGCTTCCCAGACTCGCATGGCAGCACGTGCGAACCGATCGAGGATGGACAATCCATTCAAAGTCGGTGATGAAGTGCTTATCGACGCCCGCCACTTACAGCTCGAAGCGGACACGCTTCGCAAGTTTCGGCATCGCTTCTTTGGCCCATGCCGCATCCTCCAGGCCGTCGGTTCTGATACGGCATCTAGCCCGGTCAGCTTCCGTGTGAAGCTGCCCTACTACCTACGCCAGGCTCGTGTGCACGATGTCTACCACGTCTCGTTACTGCGTCCTTACCGCAGACCGTCTGAGCGTCTCGTTGGACGACCATACGAGCGCCCTCCACCCATCATGGTGGATGATCACGAGGAGTTCCTCGTTTCAGACATCATTGGTCGCCGAGTCACCGACGACAACCCTCCCCACGTCGAGTATCTCGTACGTTGGAAGGGTTACCCTGATGAGGAAGCTACCTGGGAGCCCCTCGAGCACTTGCAGCACGCTCGCATGTTGGTGCGTGTCTACGACCGTGCTCGTCGTGCTGGGTTCACTGCTCCTCCTCAGCCCACTGACCCTCCTCCTTCTCCCCCGGCTGAGGAGACCGCTGAAGTCGAGCCTGCTCCATCTGAGGCAGACCTTCAGCAGCAGCCGGATGCTTCTGAGCGTCCACAGCGCACTCGTCGTCGTCCTGCTCGATACGACGATTGACTCTAACTTACCTTCCCACGTCTTTGACTTCTCAGTACTCCATCCACTCCAGTTTTGCTACTTCAGCTCGTCGACGTTGCGGCTCTTCCCCGACGGCATTCCGGACTTCTCATCGTGGACGTCATCGGCAGCTTCATGGACTTCGTCACGATCACCTCAGCCTACTTCAGACGTCGCCACTCTCTTACCACTTTACCCTGTACAGTACCCTGCTTGTGTCGCATGATGGTCTCCCTTTAGCCGGGTTCCTCTGAGTTGGGCTCTCCCTTGGTATACGCATAGGCATCGGGACCGTAGCGTTGCCCTGGCTTCCCATCTTACGGATCTAGCTCCGACTTCCCCGCCTTAGGAGTCATCTGCATGATTCCCTTACCCATCACCACTACCCTCTGCCGGCCCTCACGCCCTAATTAGGCAGCCCCGCAGCTTCATCTAGGTGTGCCTAGTATACCAGGCTCCCTTGTTCCCTTGCATGGTCGACCCTCCATAGCGGTCACCCCTTAGCCGAGCTTTACCCGCCCTGATGGTCTATCTGTTAGGGTCATTGGTTGTGTTCGTTCCCAGTTCCCTTCCCTCATTGAGCCTGATGACGTGTCTCCCTGTTATCTATGTGTGGATGCCCTTAGGAGTTTTCGACCCCTAGGCTGCATTCGCCACCCTCAGAGACCATCCCACCTTTTGGTTTGCGACACACCCCTCCTGTGACATATGGTTGACTTGTTGTTGCTTGTTGCTCTCAGACTGAGGCTACTGCCTCTGACATTTCTAGGATTTAGTTGTTCTGCTTTTGTTGTTCTTAGGACTTGTACACTCATCACCTGTTACCAGACTAAGGCTAGTGCCTCCAACATTCTAGGATCCAGTTGTCACTACTTCCTTCTTTCCTAGGACATGTATGCTAGTTAGTTCCTAGGACATGTATGCTAGTTAGTTGCTTCTGCTTTTACTTAGGCTGTTAGCTGTGACATTGTTGTTTTGTGACATTTTCTAGCCTAGGTTGCATCGCATGGACTCGGCATGGAGCTTGCTCCGCATCCTAGACTCCTCAGGTTTTTCTTTTTCTTTGGTAGAGTTCCGCTTCTTGACGGAAGCGTGTTTGTATCTAGGCGATCCATCACAGGCCGAGGATCGTGTAGCGGACCTCTGGTTGGTTGGCCTGTGAGACCAGCCCCTTGGCCTGTTCTCACAGGCATGTGTTCTATTTGGGGGCAGTCCAGCCCAGTCCAGGCCGGTACCTGTCGGTACCAGCCAGTCCAGTCCAGTCCCGTCAGTCCGCTGGGGTATACCCCAGCAGTTGTCTGTTTTCAGTCTCATTCTTCAGTTGCACATTTTTGAGTACGTGCGCTGGAGTCTGCGTGGGGAGCTGCGCTGTGCACCTTGCTCCCTCCTTCTTCCTCCATCTCCATCTCTGTCACTAGCAGAGCACCACACCTGGTAGGTCCGCTACAGGAAGAGAGACGGGATATGTTGGAATGGTGTTTTTCTTTGATTCTTCTGAGTAATTTTGATATCTACCCCAAGTCGCCCTTGCTTTTTGATCGATCTCTCGGACTTTTCCTTTGTTCTTCTTTAAGAAATGATGTGTGATTTTCTCCCCCACTCCTCTACTCCCTCTATATGAATTGGCAACCTGATTGATTGATGTCTACGATCGGATCATGTATGTTCCCTGACCAGTGGCCGAAGGATTGATGCACGAATGTTCGTCGACTCTTTTCCATATGTATGTTCGACATCAGATGCATGGATGTTTGGCGATTTTTCTGTTTGAATATGAATTGGATAAGCATGCTAGATGGTTTAGATGTTTGTCTCATGGTATGATTATCCATCTTTAGGTTGTGAGTATTTGGTCCTTATCCGCCTGAAGGACGGAGAGATCTTGTGCACGCACATGTAAGCCTGACCGAAGAAGGTCGTCACTTACACGCGTGTCTGCAAAATCTCTACTCGGCCAAGCTCCCTGAATGTCCGGACTTCCGCCGCACACCGCAGTATGAATATTGAAATCCCCTTTCGCATCACTGATTGCGAGTGTCTGAGGGATAATGGTCTGTCTTCACGATTGAGGGCAGGATCTCTGGAATTTCCATACTCACAGGAAACGAACGTATTTGCGAGTGGGATATTGGTCAGGCTTTGGAACATATCCCCCACCTCCCCGGCTGTCCAAGTTCATATACGTGTCACATCTTCGCGGAACTCGGAATTATTATTCTGGAAACCGAATTCCTTCCCTATCATCGCATTTTGCACTTTCACTCCCTGACCATGCCCACTCGCGGGCGCTCGCTCCCCACTGGCCCCAACCTCTGTGTTCAGAGTGCCTGCAGGACCACAATTACCGAGCATCCGACTCCATCCGACGAACTCGCTCGGAAGAGGAACGACGGGAGCACAGCCTTCGACTGAGGCCGGCCACGTCGGACTCCGAAACCTGTGGCGCCCGACGTCGGCAGGTGATCAGCCAACGAGATAGCCATAGCCTCCCTGCGGTAAACCAGATACGGATCCGACCCAGACGACGGGACCAACGGAGGTGATAGCTCCGCTCCCCGAAGCGTAAAACAGGACCCCAACCCATGCCTACCCACTTGCCAGTGCATTCATATCCCTGAAACTTGGCACAGGAGATCTCAGTTCCGATCTAGGACTCCACCCCCACTTTCCTAAAATCCTTGGCACACCCCTTTTTTTGCACTTCCAGGCCCACTCCAACTCCGATCAGGAAGTAGCGTCGGGCGTGAGGTTGGGTGTCACAGTGTGAGTATGCCCTCAGTCACATATGTCACCACTCGTACTCTGTGGAAAAAAAAAAAAGACAATCCAATGAAAAGTAACCAGATCCTATCTGAAATCCTATCTGAGTGTCAAAAGATCTCCAGGCACTGATCTACAGCCGTCAATTATCCTTATACGGCATTATGCAGTCTACTTGCCGCCTTTTGAAACTCAAACCTGACGTGGCTGCACTTGTTTCAAAAACAAAACAAAACCAAAATGGGTGAGGACCTCCGCACCAATAGATGGAGTCTCCTCTGAGATGCTAGTGGTGGTTGCTCTTATCTTTTTTTTTTTTTTTTTTTTTACCTGTCGAATATGGACAGGACGGCCTTTCAGGCCTTTTTTTTATTGTCATTATAGTATTACGGGGAACCCCGTAGCAGCCACATCCCGTGGTTGCTCTTATCAACAACCTTTGTTTTTTGTTTTTTTTTTAAAGGCTAGTACCTCCGCCAGTGTTGGCAAATTACGATGTTTTCTAGGCTACCAGCCGGGCCGCCCGGGTCCCGGGTGGCCAGCCCGTGCAAGGATCAGGTAAGGTCCCATCAAAAAAAAAAAAA